AAAAAAAAAAAAAAAAAAAAAAAAAAAGAAAAAAATAGAAAGAAAAGGGAAGGAAAAAAAAAGAGGAAGGGAGGTGAGTGAATTCTACATGTATTTCAGGAGTAGAGTTCCCTGGGACTTGCTGTTGGGTCGGGTGTGAAGGTTCAGGGATTCCGATTTGACACCTGGGTAGACACAGGATGGGGCAGGGGGAAGGCCTTGGAAGACATTAAGGGCTCTGCTTTGCTCTCTTGGTAAACTGAGGCACCTTTAATCGTCTGAGAGAGGCCGTCAGGAGGAGATATGGAGTCAGCAGAGAGCTTGGCTGTCGGCAGGTTGCTGGGATACGGGACAGGGATCTGAGGGGGGCCAGACAGATCCGGTGGCCCTTCGGGAGGGATAAAGAAACTTGGTGATGTCTTAGCCCCGTCTTCATCCCCTCCTCCCCTCCACACCCCAGGTCTATACTCGCTATGGGAAGTGTTACACCTTCAACGCGGATCCGCAGAGCTCGCTGCCCAGTCGGGCAGGGGGCATGGGCAGCGGCCTGGAGATCATGCTGGACATCCAGCAGGAGGAGTACCTGCCCATCTGGAGGGAGACAAGTACGCAGGCGGGAGAGGGACTCGGGCCTGGGCCCTCTGCCTGGGGTGGGTTCCCAAAGGCCCCCATCTCCTCTGTGCAGATGAGACCTCGTTTGAGGCTGGCATCCGAGTGCAGATCCACAGCCAGGAGGAGCCGCCCTACATTCACCAGCTGGGGTTCGGCGTGTCCCCAGGCTTCCAGACCTTTGTGTCCTGCCAGGAACAGCGGGTGAGCAACTCTAGCTGGGCCCCGGGTTGGACACGGGGCCAGGCCTTTGGGCTCAGAGGCAGTGTTGGCAGACCTGCCCTCCAGAAGCTCACAGTTCTGCCAGCCCCTGTGCCCTTCTCTGGGACTGTGGGCTCTGGAGGGCCAGGAGGGACTCCTGGGTTTGCCCTCATCATGCCCCACCTCTGCAGCTGACCTATCTGCCCCAGCCCTGGGGCAACTGCCGGGCAGAGAGTGAGCTCCGGGAGCCTGAGCTCCAAGGGTACTCGGCCTACAGTGTGTCCGCCTGCCGGCTGCGCTGTGAGAAGGAAGCTGTGCTTCAGCGCTGCCACTGCCGGATGGTGCACATGCCAGGTGGGCATCTCCCCCAGCCCACTCTCTGTGCCACCCTGCTGGGCTCCAGAGCAATACGCACGGGCAGGTGCATGTGTGCGGCCTGTGTGCACGTGTACAGCATGTGTGCACGCCTGTATCCATGAGAGTGTGTGCGTATGTGTTTGGGACTTAGTACATGTTTTCTCATAGGTATGTGGGAATGCACACACACATATATGCTTGTGTGCATGTTAATATATATGGGTGCATGTGTGTGCTTGTGTACATCGTGCTTGCATGTTCGTGGAGGTTGTATGTGCTCAAACACATGTATGTATATGACGTGTCTGTGTGTATGCAAGTATATGTATGTTTGCGTGTGTACATGCACACACGGTCATGCTCACATGCATGTGTGTCTACATTCATCTGTGTATATACAGACTTGCATGTTGTGTGCATATATGTGTGCAGGCGTGTATGCACTCATATTTGGGAGTGTGGTGTGGAAGGCACCATCAATTCCAAGAATAATCTCCTCTCCTTCCAGGCAATGAGACCATCTGCCCGCCGAATATCTACATCGAGTGTGCCGACCATACTCTGGGTCCGTACTGCTGTCCTTCCTGTCTCTCATCACCCTCTTCATCTCTCTGTCCACCTTCCTCCCCCCTTTCTTGACTCCTCTTCTCCCATTGTCTCCCTGGAGGCTTCTTCTGGGGCTTGAACCCTTATCCTCCCATGCCACATGGGGCCTGAGGACCTCCGCAGGTGCAGACGTGTGAGTCAGTGGCAGCAGGTGGGGGCTTGCAGAGAAGCCGGGACTGGGGAGTGAAGGTTTGGGCTTCTCGTCTTGGTTCAGCCAGTGACTCACCCTTCCTGAGAAGGTGAAATGACTTCCCTCTTGGTCCCAGGAGGAATGCTGGGTGTCCAGTGTGGGTACGGCAACCCCTTCTGTCCACAGGCTGGTACTGATCTGCAGTTCATGCATCTATCCATCCATCCATTCATCCAACCATTTGTTTTCTAGATCTTTACAGCCTGTGCTGGGCACTGAAGTTGAAAGAGGGAGCAAGACCCAGCCCTGGCAGAGCTCATAGCCCAGCAGGGCTGGGGAGAGGCCTGGCACCACAGGGGGACCTCAGGGTGTTAAAGGCTGCAGGGAGAAGCATAAGGCCCCAACCTGGGAAGGCAGGGAGGGTTCCTAGAGGTTGTGACATTATTAGCTGAGGCTTGAAGGGTAAGAGTCAGCCGGGAGCAAAGAAGGACATGCTGTCGGCAGAGGGCACAGTACGTGACAAAGACCCAGTGCCAAGTGTGGCTGGAGGGCAGAGAACGCCAGAGGGAGCCAAGGAGTGCAGGAGGGAGGCGAGGCAGGAATGGCATCTGCTTTCCAGCGGGCGGGCT